CCACCTCGCCCTGGATGCCGTCGACGCGGATGGTGCTCGTCGGGGCGCCGCCGGGCGGCGGCTTGAGGTTGGGGGCCGGGGCCATGCTGACGAGCTCGCGGAAGAAGGCGTTGGCGGCGTCGCAGCCGTCGAGGAGCCACTTGAGGCAGATGGTGACGCGCTCCTTGGCGAAGGGGTTGTGGTCGTCGTAGGCGCAGCAGTTGAGGAGGGGGACGATGCCGTTGTGGCGCACCATCTGCAGCTGCACGTCTGGGTTGCCGGGGGAGGACTGGCCGGGCGGGGGCTGGAGGAGGGTGGCGAGGATGGTGAAGAGCTGGGCTTTGATGCCGGACCAGGGGAATTTGTAGGCCGGCTCGGAGAGCGGCGGGGGCGGCGGAGGGGATGGCGGGAGGGAGTCGGCGGCTGAGTAGGGGCGTTCGATGATGGGCGGGGCCGCGGATGTGTTGTCCGGGTTGGTGCCTTGCGGGGCGGCCGGCGGTTGTTGGTGGGCGGAGGGGTTGGTGGGGACGGTGCGGGTTGGAATAGCGTCGACGAGGGGCTTCTTCGGCACGCCGGCCTCGAGACCGTTGAGGAGAGTGATGAGGTCGTAGACAGCTTCCCACTCGATGAGCATGGCGCGCGAGTACGCAATCTCCGAAACAGTGGTTAGAAGGTCGAGGTACTGAGCCAGGCCGTCCCTAGCCCGCTCCATGTCCCAGGTGTCGACGGGGAACTCGCCAGGGTCAGAATTATCCTCGCGCAACTGAGCCTGCAAATGCATGAGCGCCACACATTCCGGCACAATGCGAGAGCGGAAGAAGCCAAAGAAGAACATGACGAGCTTCAGGTCGCGCGTCCTGTCTTTGGGGTCCTGCGGTGGCGATGAGATGCGGCTGCGGAACATATGGTTGACGAGGCGGAGGAGCACTGTCTGCGCCGGCGAGATGATATCTTTCGGGATGCGGAGAGAGTTCCAGGCATAAGAGACGAGGGAAGAGTGGTGCATAGCTTCGACAAGCTGGGAGGTGAGCTGGAAGATGAGTGATTGCTCATCCTTTTCCCAGACAGCGATGAAGACAAGCATTTCTCGGAGCAGAGACTTGCCGCAGTCCAGAGCCAAAAACATGCGGCATCGGGTCTTTTGGAGATTCTCGCCTGCACGGGTGAGGCCAGTGCCAGCCGAGTCTAGGATGCATGACTTGACAATCATGTGAAGCGCTTCGATCTGTTTAGGGTCGAGGATGTTGGGGATTTCCGTCAATAGGCCTGTCAGGGGACCCTCGCCGTAAGAGTCGTCATCGTCGTCGATGTCGTCTTCTTCATCGATCATCTCGTCGTATTCACCCTCGACGTATTCGACATCAGACCCGTCAGTGTCTCTGGGAAGGTCCAGAGCGGATTCCTCAACCTCGTAGACTTCAGCTCCGTCCTCGTCGTCCTCTTCGTCCTCGTCCTCATAGTCAGTGGGGTGAAGCGCTGTCGCGTAGCGGTTGAGGAGATTGGTCTTGCAATGCTCTGTTCGTGAAGCTGCGAACTCGACAGAAGGCATCGGCACGACCCAGTCATCGTAATTGGCATCGCGGGCGCGCATCCACCACGTGTCGATCTCACGCGAAACCCGGCCATATGCCCGGTCTTGCTCAAACTTGTCCGTAATGTCAAGGTCCCACTTCGGCGTGAACTTCTCACCCTCCTTGATGTTGTCGGCACGGACCTTGACCTGTCCTTCGGGGAACCAGTTCCAAGCCAGCGGAGCGATGGGGGCCAAAACTCCTGGTGGCCTGTGTGACTGGTGCTGCGAATAATCCGTCAAGAGCTTCCGTGCCGCATCGCACATTCGTGAGTTGCGCTCCAGCCAGTTTTGAATTTCCGTCTTGGCAATGTCGACTCGGAAGCCAGACCCATCGCCCATGCCCTCTTGCGGGTCATCGAGCTGTGCATCTTCGTCGAAGAGAACGTCGTACCAGAAAGACATTTTATTGCGGTCATTCTTGGCGGTCCAGTTATGAGCCTGTTGCAAGGATGTGACGAGCAACTTCTTGTCTGTGCGAAAATCAGCAAATGGGGAGATGTGAGGATGGAAGGGACCTACACAGATCTGTAATCTCGTTCAGTTTGGCTCTTGACGTTTCGTCAAGAATCTCGCCGTCATAGCCCTTGCTCGTGACATTGACACACAGGATGATGGTCTGGTACACCATCTGGTCAAAGTGGACAGCAGCACAGATATCCTGCGGAACCTCGGGCTCCGACGTGACAAGCAGGTTACGCGCAATGTGCATGAGCTTGTTGAGAATCTGCAGATCGTCCTTGAGGTTGACCTGGTTCTTGACGATGAGTGCTGTGCTCTCCTGAGGGCTGACACCTTTCTCAGGGTAGTTCAAACTGGACAGCGGCCCCACGGAGCGGGTTGTGAGGTTGGGGATGGCGGCGCCGAAGATTCTTGTCAGCCAGATCCAGATGGCCACATTCCTTGCCAATGACTCTCGAACGTGCTTGAACGTGTGTGTCTTTTCCAAGGTCTTGGCGATCATGCCCGAGACCTTGTTTGCCGTCATGGGACCCATGGGCGGCGAACTGGTGTAATGGCCCTCGAGGCAGATGAGGGCTGCCGAGAAGCAGCGCTCCTCGATGGACTCCGAAGGCTTGGATCCATCGGAAGGACCAGGATCTGGTAATGAGGGGATCTCGATGGCGGCCATGCTGGCTCCGACCAGGCGCCCTGGTCTGTGGTGCTATCACGAGACTGAGGCTCAAGTGAGGGCTACCTCGAGAGGTGAGATGATGTGGCGGTGAGCGACGGCGACCGACCTGCCCAGACGAGTTGGAACGGTTGAAAAGAAAACGGCTTGGAATTTCTCGAGTATGACGCTTTCAGGAAGAAGAGAGCAACTGGATCCGGAGGTGGCGGGGTGGGTGAGGTTGTGGTAGTGACAGGACTTCGAGGTCAGAGTTGTGTTAGTAATGGCGAAAATCGAAGGTACTGGAGCACAGGCCAGAAATTTCCGAGGGGACGATGCAGGCTCCTCTGTGGGCCGTGGCCTGTGGGGCATCGCCATGTTCTTCTTGGGCACTGGGAGGACTGGCATCGCTGGCCGTCAGACAGAACTGCTCACGATGCTTACGTTACGGAAGACTCATGTTTGGGTATGCATGTAAAATCAAACACACACTCTGCCCTCGAGATCTTGCATCCCGACATTGTTTCACAAAGAACTGGGAGAAGACAAGTAGAACCCATGTCTTATCGGACGGTGGACCCTGTCAGCGCGCCCTCCAGCGAATGGCCCAAGGCGATAAGCTCCCAGTGAAGACGCGCAGCCACTCAGCGTCATGGCGCCATCCCACTTTTCGACGTCGGCCGTTTGGCGGGGTAGTCAAC